ACAACTGATATGGAACATATTTTTAAAAACAACTCCAAACAAAAATTTCCCCTAAAAATAAGCAAGAAGGAAAAAATTCTTGATCAGTCAGAATTCAGAGCTGTGTAAGATGAGGTAAAAAGAACAGGTCTGAAATCTTTGCTCTGTAAAGGTCTCCATCCACATAGAAGGTATCATGTCTGTAAGAATTACTAGTATAACTGATCTTATGTTACCTAGAATAATCCAGCAAACACCCCACCACACCATTCTTTATAAAACAACCTGCCTTAGTTAAACATGGTGTTCTGTGAAGAAAAGATTGGCATGAGGCAATAACCACAACCTCTTCTGATTCCTTTTTTTGTTGTTTGAGAAAGGCTAAGATTATAAATATTAAAAACTTAATTTGACTGGATAATGAATATCTGGAATATCCAGCTGCTTCTTTTTCATCGTATTTCATACTTTGCAAATTTTCACATCATTAGCAATTCACATAAAAATGGCCATAAACCAAACATGATGAATGCTACCAGATAAACAAAAATTAATCTCCTATTACATGCTCAGAATCTAATCTCTAACTTGTGAGGCATGGCTAAAAGGAACAACTTCATTAAAAGAAGCTTTTAATTAGAATATGGTTAAAGACATTCTTTTTCACTTCAAAACCCACATTCTTCAGAAGAGCAAGTTACCCATGTCCCTGTTCAGCTTCACTCTGGGGTTAGCCCAGACACCACTCCCTTCAGGATGACCTGCCTGACTCATCAAGCCTTGGTTAGTCCATCAGCAACAAGCATGCCATGTTCCTTCTCTCTTTACTGCCATCCACTGACCCTCCCCCAGGGCGCAAATCACTCCACGCCTCCATTACACTGCTTTGTAATTGCTTCCTTAGCTAACCACGAAATCCAGTGAGCTAACAGCTCTGTGAAAACAGGAAGAAATGCCACCACTCACTATGCTAGCACATGATAGGTACTAAACATTCTCAGTTGACAGAATGGATAAAAGAAATGACAAGCTAGAGACTAACAAGGTCAATTGGCTAGTTTTAACTCTTAAAATTGAATTAGAATATGGTAACTTAAATGATGCAGGAGGTTCTTATTCCAGTTATTGGCACTGCATACAGAAACTTGAAGTATTTTATTGTGGTATAACTACTTCTACAGACTATTTGGAGATAAAGAAAAATTACTTGTGAGCACATAGACAGCTGCAGTTATTTGAGGTATTTTTCACCCTTAAAGGCTACATCAAAACTCACTAGAGACAAGAGCACATGATTTCCCAGCTGACCCATGAATTCTGTCACAGGTCTACTAGACTTCCTACCAAATTGTTCTACCCTAATAACAATAACTATGCTAATCCTGCAGATCCACAGACGGAATCACAACTGAAAGTCACAGCTGCACCAACTGGTAAATGGATGAAGGCGCAAAAAGCAATCAGAAAGCATCAAAGCAAGCTCTGCTCACTACACCTGTTTTCAAAAACAGTACACAAGAGGCAAGAGTGCCACAGATTTCAGACATCTCCCTACACTGATCAAGCAGCTGACATCTTTCTGTACTGTGGGTAAATTGCCTTCTCCCCAACTTCACAGCTCTGACTTTGAAGATAAATGGAGCCATCCAAGCAATATGCTTAAAGCTCTTTAAAAGGAACTCAAGGTCACATTATTTTTCATTGTCCCTGGGACAATGCAATAAACAAGAGATCTCTTTCTGTGATGCTCCCTTAAAGGACCACCCAGTCTCTTGGGAATGTCAGAGCTAGTGTTGGCAATTCTGATATCCCACAGAGGGCTGAGGGCATTTTAAATTCTGCTGCAGCTGAGTTGAGGCGGCAGCGAAGTACAAACTTCTTAAAAGTCAATCATACCTCCCTGGGGAGGAATTATTGACCTCAGATTTAATCATTCACCACTACACCTGCCTCTCCTTGCCCCATTCATACTGACTAGGTATCTTTCCATGTGGAGACACAGAAGCATTACTCATGCTCAACATTTATGGGTGTCACCTAAGTGAAGGAAAAAGAACACCCAAAGAAACTTTCAAAGAAAACTGCTTGTGGAGTTAGTTTGGGACAATGGCCATTTTCTAACTGGTGTATCGAACTGGCATATCTGAAGATGCAAAGTTAATATCTGAAGATGCAAAGTTAATATCCAGAAAATAACCAACCATCAGTGAAGATGGCCAAAAGGCTAGTACACTGGTGGTACTACAATTATTAAGCTGAGGCTAGAAAAAGTGAAGCAAATAAAACCCGTGGTTGTGCTAGGAGGACCCTCCCTCTAAACTGGCACAAACTGGCAACTGGTCATTCTTACATGAGGAAAAAAAAAAAAAAAAGATGCAGCTCAACTGGTTTTATTATTATGAAAAGCAATTACTACTGTCAAATTCTAGTGTACGTGGATTTACTAGTAATACTTTTTCTTATCCAAGAGAACTGCCACTGCAGTTAATTTCAAGAGAAGCAAAAAGGAAAAAAAAGAGAGAGAGAGAGAGAGAGAGAGAGAGAGAGAGAGGAATTGAGATTGCAAGTAGAAATTTCCCAGGCAGACTTCCTCTAACATTTCAATATCCTGCCTTCTGGTCTAAGAGTAGCAGATAAAGCTCATCCTGGATAAGGAGCAGGGGGAATTAAGCACCAGTAACTAAAGATAAGTTTACCAATTCCTTTCAATCTTTGATAATTTAGATTTAACTAGCTGTACCAGAAATTAAAGTATTTTAGTTTCCATTATTGCTTGAATATTTTTCATCTGAACCTTTCAGATGCTCTGGCATCTCAAGCTACACCTACCTTTCTGTTCAACACCATTACAATACCTAAGCTTGGCTTCTTCGCATTCTCGAACCATTATTCCAGCACCAGCACCATATATCATTTAAGTCACTACCAATTACAAGTACCAATTACACTACTGTGTTTGTATGTGTGTGTGTATCTATATCTATCTATTTATCTATCATATAACTTCGTGTTATATGTTTTTTATCCTATAAATCTCTGGTCAATCAACTCAATATTTCAGGGCCTTTTCTGTGTCTATGACATTAAGATTGGAGCAGGGATTGGAGTTAGAAGTGTTGTCATATAAAGTTTTTGGCTATAAAACAATTACAAGCTAATAAGAGAATAAAATACATGACACTATGAGAGGACAGGTCACATCACTTAAGTAATTGTGGGAAATGTCACAATGAAGTAAATGCCAGAAGAATGATAATAGATTAACAATGAACCAGAAACTATCATTAAACATGTTAGGAACATATCTTTATGAGTCAGATACAGAAGGAATGCTGACATCCTGCCAATGCCTTCAAAATTTGACTCTGTTGTAAAGGTAATGTTAAAAAGATGTGCAAAATATGACTGCATAACAAATTCTAAGACCTGATTAAATGTTTCCACTATAGACTAAAAATTACACAAATTACCAAAGCCTTAATGGTATAAGGCTTTCCATGTTAACTAAATCACAACCATAAAAATGAAGGTGCTATAAACTGCTCTAAGAGAGGATTTTCCATGAGGACACAGGACAGTGACGTCACCATGCCACAGGCTGTCCAGACTCAGCATATGCACAACCGCAGCTTCCCAGGCAGAGTGCGCAGCTCCTCTTAGAGGTCAGTTTCTGAACATGAGGAATATGCCCAGAACCTACATTATTAAATTTTTTTTAAAGATGTATTTATTTATTCATACAGAATTGGGGTACAGGCCAGAGATGTGGAGGTTGAGAGGATTCACCAGGGACAGAGTGGGGAACAGAACAAGCAGATCGACGAAGTACACTGCTGAGGGGAGCAGCGGGCGGGTCAGGAGAGGTCTGGCTCGCCATGTGGATCTCCTCCGGGGCAGGCGGGGATCGAACTCATGCAGAAGTGGCTTTAGCTTCTTAGTGCAGTGCTTTAACCCACTGCGCCACCAGGGAGGGCCACATTATTAAATTTTACTGCATACATTTGTGTATGTTTCTAAATCCTTATCAAGTTACTTTCTTCTGCAATATCTTCTGTGGTGGTAAAACCACTGTCCATTCCCTAGTGACCAAGTGCAAATACCTAAGTTTCCAGAGCCTTTGGGGAAGCCAATGGTATTGGTTAAGTCAAATAATACTACACATATTACAAAATAATTCTCCATTTAAATGAGCACAAGATTAAATGAAGGGTAAGCTAGAAATGATCTCTCTACAGCATTTCCTCCTGCAAGGATAAAAATCTTAAGACCATTTCACAATGTTGTTCTTACTTAAAAAGGCAACACAGCTCTCTGAGGGCCACTTCTCCAGCTCCCTCCCTGGGCTAGCATTGGGGGGTACCATAAAAGCCTTCTTCCCCTCTACCCTATGAACTTCATCTACCATTAGTAAGTCTCTTTTGCCTCGTAAGTTTAGACTAAGCACATCTGTTTAGAATGCCCATGAAGTTCAATGTCCTGAACTTTTAAATGAATAGTCTCAGTGTAATCTAACACTCAGCTTGTGAAAACAAACGCTGAAAAGTCTCACTATTATACATCAAATTTCATCATTTCTGGCATGGCAGCAAATAAGTCCACATTACAAATAAGCAGATTTTAAATTGAGAGACTGTCAAGTCCTGTTTATGTATAAGTTTTCCATTACTGTATATATATATGTATATATATACATATATACATATATATATGCTACTGAATTTTATATCAAAGGATGTGAAGCTATAAACTGCCCTTACTTAAAATTCAGAGGATTTTTACACCACTTTTGGATAGTCTTCTGACAGAGAATCAAAATAATCATGCCTGTTTGCATTAAATATACCCCAATGTATGAAATACTTAATCATAATGGATTCAGAAACAATAAAACTAGAAAAAAAAGCAATTTTCTGTTCACTCATACATCTGAGATGAGCATAACACTTGTGACTCTACACATCTTTTGAACTTATAAAAAGGAGATGGCCCATTTAGTTAATGAAAACAATGATAAAATGTACCTAATTTTATTTTCCATATCTTCACTATCTGATTCTTCAGAGCTTCTGTGCTTATCCGGATCCGGAAGTGTGCTTGGGTCAAATCCATCATCATCATCATCATCACTCCAATCCAGAAAGGCTTCTTCTTCATCTCTGGCCTAAAAAACAAAACAAGGGAAACTGATTTAAGAACACAGCTGATGAATCAGCCTGTCTTATTTCTGAGTCTAAATAAATATCCCCCTAACCTCAAAGCAGAACCTTTGTATTCTGGTGAAAGCCACTATGAATTTCAGTACCATAAGCATTTGCAAAGAGAAAGAAAAACCAGGTCATTTAAAATAATAATAATAATAATAATATATATATGTATGTATGGTTCAGAAAGCAAATCACTATTAAGTTCATTAAAGCCAATAAGAGGAAAAGCTGTCAGATGGACTGCTTCAATGTAGTTCAGCTATCATACATGTAAGTCTCAAAACTATTAGATGATCATATAAAAGTCTAGACAAGAGTAGAGAAAAATCTCTCTGATCATTTCACGACAATTTTATCCTAAGTCTTAAAAATAACAATCAGATCTACGACAGTTTAATAGTGAAGGCCTTCTAAATTCAAATGTCAGTACCAAGTTGCAATAAACAAAGTAAAAAGGGAGAAATACTAAGAGATGGAGAAAGTGGGAACATGTGGAAGCCACTGGAAATGATTCAGTTTCACACAAGTATTAAAATGGGCTTTGTTTTTTTTTGCTTTTGTTTAATGATGGCTTATTTTAGCTAAAGTAAAAGTAATGCTGAAGTTAAAACAAACTTACTAGATATTTGTATGATAAATACCCCTTTAACAAATCTATTTCCGACAGAATGGTTTTGTCACCTAGTTGATAAACACGAACAAGCAGTGCCACATGCGTTTAATGGATTGTAAATAGGACTAAAAAATAAGTAATTCTGAATGGCTTTGTTACCATCTTTTTAATTCTTCATATCATCTCAGTGATCCTCTGATTTCAAATACTGAATGCTCTTTTCCTAGAAATTTAATAATGACTCAGGATAGCAAAAGCAGGCCGCTGTAGGTCTTTAATACTCTGAACAGGTCTCTGAATAAGCTCTAACCATAACAAAAGGGAAAAGAAGTAAAGAAAATAATGACTATCACCAAAACACACATCTCATCAATTCCCTAGTAAATTTCCCTGCTTAAAAAAAAGTGTGGCAACAAGTAATAAAAGGGGAGAGAGAAAGACTGTCCTTCACACAGGAAGCAGCCCATCTGACAGCCCGTACACAGTCTACTTGAAAATAATCAAGGGTACCAACCCAAACCAAATGTCATCACATAAAACACTAATAGCTTGGGCTACATGAGAGCTCCAATTTTCCAGTCTGATGAACTTAAAGGAATTGGTTGTCTAAAGGTGTTGAGCAGATTCAAAACAATTCTCAACTTTCTTGGTCTCAGGGCATCTTCACAATTAAAAAGTATGAAGGACCCCAAAGAGTCTTTGTTAACGTGGACTCTATTTACTGTATTAGAAATTAAAACTAAGAATTTAAAAAAGTAATTTATAAGTAATAGTCACTATATATTAAAAGCACACACTCATCAAAAGTATCTAAGTTCAAAAACAGTAGGGAACACTATTGTACATTTTTGCAAATCTATTTAATATCTCACTCTGCATATATGTTGTTCTGAAGTATATGAAGAAAATCTAGTCATTCTTAGATGGTTGTTACAAGAAAGGAATAATTTAGTAGTGTTTTCATATCACTGCAGTTACTTCTATATCACAAGAAACCTGGGTGAGTGGCTCCTTAAACTGTAGTTGAAATGTGGACTATGAAGCATATCAGTGAAGTCTGTTCAATAAAATTTCATTGATACTTTGTGCTCTGAATGGATATTTTATCAGTGAAAAACTTTGTAACATCACATATTGGCCATTTGAAAAATGATGACTTCAGACTTCCTTATGTGGATCTTCAAATGTAGATACATTTCATTATACAATATTCTTAAGTCACATTTGTTAATGTCTCCATAAATATCAGATGAAAAGTCTTTTAAAATAGTGGGAGCTATTGGTGGATACACTTTTCCCAAGTGAAATACTAAGGAAGTACTGCTGAACACATTTTCCAAAATTCTAATTCTTTCTAAAAAGCTCATATTTTATTATTGTAACAAATATTTTTCACTTTGTCCCCCTTAAAATGTAAGCAAAAAGTGTTATTTTCCTCTGGCTGCTTTTCGAATTGATCTCTATCATATAGCAATCTCCATCAAACAGCAGTTCTAGGAATGTTTTTCTTTGTGATTATCCTTCTCAAGGGTCTGCAAGCTTCTTGGATCTATCAGTGTTTTCCATTAACTCTGAGAAGTTTTAGGCCATTATTTCTTCAAATATCTTTATATTTCTCATCTCACTTTTTGTGGTTGTAAATACAGTGTAGACAAGACTACTTTAAAAGACGAAGCAGTCAACACCTAACTAAGTTCAATGACACCCAAGTTCTCTTGGGTTACATTTATTTTCTTCAACTTTATTTTCTTTGTGCTCTCTGGATAGAGTCATTTTCATTTTGAGCTTAGATAACAGTTTTTTTTTTAAAGTAATTGTACTTTTTGGCTCAATGACTTCCAGGTTTGTTTATGTTATTTTGTTCTTAATATAGCTATAGCTCTGCTAATATTACCTGTTTACACAATCAAACTATGTTTTCCTTTAATTCCTTGAACATTCTTTCAATACTCTGTATTCAAAAGCGCTGTTTTGAAGTTATTTCTAAATTTAAATCTGGGCTAAGAGTTTCTATTAACTGACTTTTTGGGGTGTGGGTCACACTGTCCTTAATTGTATGCTTAGTAATTTTTTTTTTTTTAAAGACTAGACAACATAAATAAGATAGTTTACAGAAACACTGGATTTTCACTCGGATTTTGCTGAGGATTAATGGATTTGTATTCTAATGGGCAGCTTCCCTGCTTGGATTCAAGCTGCAAATGCTCTCTTAACCCATGGTACTCAGCATTGTATATCTGTTTTATCATCACAGCTCCCAGCCTTTACGTGCCTATGCAATGTAACATCTAACCAAGGCTTTAAGAACTGGGCTCATTCACTCTGAGTTCCTTGCTTCTGGGGATTACCCTAATTTCCAGTTGTTCCGCTGGCTTTGAGATCTGTCACTTTAATATTTTCAGCAGAATGCTTTGTTTAACTGCATTTAAAAACCTATGTCATTTTAACCTTCATAAGGTCACTACAAGAGAAATAAATTATAAAGTGATACTTACTTAGTCTAAAAGCCTGATTCTAGTGTACATGTTTATTTGAAAGAAAATGTAATTCAGAATGATGAAAAGTTACCTTCTTATTTATTTGTAGAAGAAATGGGGTGTAGGCCAGAGGGTGAGGGGGTGGTGAGAGGATTCTCCAAAGACCAAGTGGGGAGCAGAACAGGTGGATCTACTGAAATACATTGCTGAGGGGAGCAGTGGGCAGGTAAGGAGAGGTCTGCTGTGCCATGTGGGTCAGCTCCTTAGCTGGGAATGGAACTCAGACCACTAAGGTAATAGGGCTGAGACTTACTAGCTAGGCCATCAAGTTACTTTTAAGTGGGCATTATTTGGGTTAGTATCAATGTGTCTCTTCAAACTGACAACACAGGGGTCTCGCTATTCTCTGCCTCTAAGAGGATCACTTAGAGGTTAATGCCCTTTCATCTGTGCTCCACTACACTCCTTAATTCCTAACAAATAAATTTCAATGGCCAATTACTCCTTCAGAAACATAATTTCAAGCTAATAAAAGTGTAGGGATATTGGGGAAAAAATTTTATGTTGATCATCTTATGATTCATCCTTTGGTTAGAAAACACTGTAAAATGTAACATAACCATATTATGAAAAGTATGTGACTCATACCTTTAACTTAGTAGTAGTTTTGTTTACTTTTTAACTATCTACATAAAACCAAAGCATATCTAAAAGTCATTAAGTGAAGAGGGCTTTACCATAATGAAAACATTTTGGAGAACATTTATTTGTCTTTCTGATGAATTCCGGTTTAGAAGTATGCTCTTCCCAGCTACACAAGGTGGTAAAGAAAATGAGTATTCTAGCTCTCCTCTCTTTGCCCTTGTGATGTCATGAATCATTTAAAAGATAAGAACAGTGGTACCATATTTATAAGTTATCTTTTTCTGGACTCATTTTCATAAGAAACAGCACAAAAACTGATGTACTTATCAGCTCCCAACAGCCTGACATATTAGGACACACAAAATGGACAGTTACTGCTATAAGTAAAAGGAAACTTGGACAAGTATTTTATTCAATTATCTCAAGTATTTTAGCAGGAAAGTACTTATGTGGTGGTGGTATTGGAGATGGTGGTAGGAGACTATGAGAGATGTTAGCAAGGGCCAACTAGACACTGGACAAGGGCATATTATATATTTAAGAAAATCAATATGCACAGAGGCATAGTTTTATGTAAATATGATGGGGGAAAAGCAGCTACAAAAAAAAAGGTAACTGGCCCTCCCTGGTGGCGCAACGGGTTAAAGCACTGTACTAAGAAGCTTAAGCCACTTCCACATGAGTTCGATTCCCGCCTGCCCTGGAGGAGATCCACATGGCGAGGCAGACCTCTCCTGATCCTCCCGCTGCTGCCCTCAGCAGTGTACTTTGTCGATCTGCCTGTTCTGCTCCCCACTCTGTCTCTGGTGAATCCTCTCACCCTCCGCTTCTCTGGCCTGTACCCCAGTTCTATATGAATAAATAAATAAATCTTTAAAAAAAAAAAAGGTAACCTACAAAAACACCTTCATTCAACAAATCATTATTAAGGAGCTTCCATAGGTACTAGACACACACACTACTAGCTTTTAGGGGGTGTAACAGCAAACCAGTCAAAGGCCCTGGGGGTGGGGATAGGGTGGAATGCACTATTCTAGGAAGTAAGTTAACCACATAAGCACTTAAATGAAAATTAGGTTCTGATTATTTCTGGGGAGCAGCCTATCAAGGATGAATGGACCCAGCTTGGCCCTGTGTAACAGCTGGTGAGACAGTCTTCAACTTATGGATCTCCCAGAGATTTTAATTATGGATCCTATCTGTCAACATGCTTCTTTTTCTT